CGAGTGCCTCACTCATAATGGTACTTAATATGGTGGAATTTCAAGTTGAATGTTTACATGCCAGTTAAAATCTTAGGGCTTATTTTTGTGAGGCAATTTCGGGTTGTAAGTATGATGGCTGAACACACTTTGTTACTTTTGTTACACTTTGTACTTTGTAACAAGTTTCTTTGTTTTAGTCTGACGACAAGGAGTTAAATGCCCTTGTATTATATGCGTCCCATATCCTTCCCGATTCCAGTTTCACTCGAATTAATTTCTTCCACTGTGTGCATATTTGCCACAATAAAGATACAATTGTCAATAAATACTGTAGGATCTTTTTTCATTTCAAATTAAGAAAAACAATGAATTTAAACCTTAATAAAAATCATTGAAAACCACTATGAATTTCATCGAAAGAATCACATTACTTCTACGTGATAATCCCGTGACAACCTCGCTCACTGAAATGAGTATTTTCATATGAGAATCACATAACACTTAGGGGCTGTTCATAAACTACGCAGACAATTTTTGGGAAATATCCATTAGAATTCCACATAACTTTCATGTGATCTCATAATTGGGAATCGCACTACAAAATCACGTGAACCTTATGTGTCCAATGAAATTTATGTGATTTATCACATAGAATTCATGTGATCATATGAATATAATGTGAATTTCAGATACGAATCATTAATTTTGTTATTGGAAAAATATCATATGCGTTCCCAATGGAAACTATATGAAAACTTTTTTCGGTGTATGTATGTTTTCACGTACACTTAAAAAAATCAACACGTTACCTTCATGTGTTCCACACTTAAATTTGCGCAAATTGTGAAAAACATGCATTTCATGTGTGAATCATATAATAGATATTATTCTCGAACACTATAAGTTCAATTGTGATACACATGGATTTCATGTGCTTACATTTTGTCATCGAAAGTTTGACACTTAATCATCAAGTTTCCTTCATTCACAAGTATATTATCGAACATATCTGGTTCGTGTATCTTACATTTGATAATGAATCAAAACTCATCCCAGCAATATTTCATTTCATTTAATGACAATAGTTTTCATTATTAATTCACAATAGATAAAAAAAAACACTGCAGCTGTCTCCAATTGCGTCACTACACCAGGATCCAGGAACCCAAGAATACTATAAAAGACAGTTATGGAGATGTACAGCTTCTCAGCTTTTGATGTTATTTTCAGTCATTATGATTTAATTACCATTTCTAATCAGTTTTCTGTTTTAATGATGATGTCTAATGAAGTCTAAAATATTTTTTTCTGTCAGATAGAACTGGCCAACTACTACTGACGAGATTATTGTCAGTAAATTAAAGCGTAAATTAATATTGTGGGGTACCTGGAATCTCTCGTAAGTGTACTGTAGCAGCAACATACATTGGCATTGATTGTTACTCTGTTTAATATTTCTTTTAACACTCGTCCTGCTACTGATGAGATCCATGTGCCATACACGTTAATTTGATAGTAGAAAACATTAGAACAGATCATATACGGAGGTCCCATAAATTTCAATAAGTAAACACCGACAGCTAGGACATGTGATTTTTGGACATTGATGCCATGAAATGCGAATGTAATTCACATGATATCATGGTGACTGGCAAATGGCAAAATTCATATTTGAAAACACATGAATGAAACGTGTGGATTTTTTTGAGTGTAGCACGTGAAAATTATTTTGGGTGCAGGCAATGAGAAGGCGGACTCTCTCGCAAAGATGGGCGCGCAGGAAGGCGAATTTTATGACAGGCAAATTTCACACGATGCATTTTACCATTTAGTGCGTCAAAGTACCCTTTTGAGTTGGCAAACCGATTGGTACACTGGAAATCTTGGACGGTGGTTACATTCAATTATGTTTAATGTTTCTTCCGTTATTTAATGGATTCTGAAGCATCGTGTTTAAATCCTTGAAATCCCCCTTAAATGCTGCACAGTAGGCCTGGCCGTTTTTGTATGCATATTCGATGTGAAACATATATCAAATAGACAATGATGGAGCTCAGTTGGTAAAGGCGCAGCTACAAAGCAAGACCATGCTGTAGGTGACTGGGTTCGATTCCCGGCCTGGTCTAGGAATTTTTCGGGTTGGAAAATTGCTCGACTCCCCTGGGCATAGGGTATAATTGTACTTGCCACACAATTATACTAATGCAAAAATGGTACAGGCATCGAAAGCTCTCAATTAATAGCTGTGTGCGTGTAGCAACGGAACCATTTTAGGAGACCCTTACCGGTCTAAGAAACGGCAAAATTATTGTATTACATCGGCCGAACTATATTAAGGTAAGTAGGAATTGCATGCGGAGACGGTTTTCAGTCGTCTTCAGCTGGGACGGGACTTGACAATCGAGTAGCGATTTCGAGCCAATTTGTTGTCAAATCTGAACTAGTTTCTGATTGGTCGATTTGACAGTAGCAATTGTGGAATAAAAAGGACATCAATTTGGCTGGCAGTGATGCCGGAATCTATGTTGACGTCAATGGCGTTGTTAATTGTTTATATTTGCGAAAGGAAAGTTGAAAAATTGAGGCATTGCGTGTTTCAAGCGATGGATATTGTTGTTTGTTTCAGGTTGTTTTTATTGAGTTGAGCAAAAATGATGTACAAGCTGCTAAACTGCAGCAGAAACTCTGAATAAAATCCATATTAAAATAGAAACAATATTTTACATTCCTGGCATCATTGGTCAAACACCCAGCACAACTTTTCGAAGGGCTATCTTCAAAAACATTAAGAAGAGTGAGAAACTGGATTGTCAAGACCCGTTCCGGGTCTTCAGCTCCAGTTAATGCCTTGTTCAGACTACAGAGTTATAACATAGAGGTAACTCTAAGACCAGAAGGTCCCGAAGAAACGTACTCACCTTTTTTGGCTCAGCTCTGGTGCTCTGGGTCAAAACAAACATTGTGTAGTACTAGAATTTCGACTAGAATGGGGTACGTTAATCGATTTGCTTGGGACCAATAGGCTAGTCAAGAGTAGTTAAAATCGTTAGTTTCCATCGGTTATAGGGCCATAACATGTTATAGCGCTATCTTGATGGTGGTTTCTGTGTTGCAATTATTTGACAACCGTTATAACATGTTATAACTCTGGAGTCTGAACGTACTTTAAATGAATCTGGAGCAGGTAATTTCCATTGTTTATCAAAACAAATAAAATAAACAAAATTCCTGGCTGAAAATATCACAGACTGGTTTTGTTTGACTCACTCTGCGCGAAAACGTCGTTCACTCAAAAGTGAGTAAAAGTGCGCCTACTCACTTTTGAGTAGCCATACTTCTCGCTGAAATGAGCATGTTCGACTCAATTTTGAGTTGTTGCGAGTTACCGTGTACGAATTACAAAAAAAAACAGCTCGCATGGAACGGTGCAGTAACAATAGAATCTTTAGATTTTTTAGGCGCGTACAGTGATAGCGAGAGCGGGAGGCATCTGTCAATTTTACTGTAGCAATAAGTAACCTACGTGGCGCTCGTGAGCAAGCAATTTCTAACGTATTTTAATTTGAAAATTTACACAACATTTTCGCCAAATTATGTTCTAGTTCGAACGTCTGTCTGTGGTTCTGCATTTATGAGCAGTATAGAACCATCGAATTCTGATGATACCAGTGTTGGGAGAATATCAAAAAATCTAATCTCACCAACGCCCAAGATCACGCTTGAATTTGTAGACAAAAATCAACAAGCAAACAACTGCGGTTGATTTTGCAAGCTGTGATATCACAGCTCGGAATATCAAGCTAACAAAACTCATCAACAGCAAATCTCACCAAATGTGGTGAGATTGAGTTTAATGATTTTTGCTTTACACCCGAATGCAACCGAAACTTCCATTACGGCTTGCAGCAGTCCCTTGGCGTCTGCCACTAGGGGGGGAGATGGCTGTCAAATACGAACAATCGTCGCCTACCTCGCATAACTGGTTCCAAACGTAAACAAGCCATAAGAAACCTACAGCGTTTGTTTACGTTTGGAACCAGTTTCATATTTACAAGATGATCAGTAGGCTGATTTGACAGCACATCCCCCCCCAGGTCTGCCATCGGTGAAGATTAAAAAGAGATAGCAACTATGTTTTCTCTTTCTAAGAAAACGATGTGCAATGGAATCATTTTTGTGTCGAGTCAACTCTCAGCTTGAGTTTTGTACGTTGTGAATAGTCTAGCAATATCAAAAGAGCTTGTAAAATCAATATCAAGCATGATATTTTGTTCCAATATCACACGTGATATTGCGAGCGCATGAGAGCGGAAAAATATCAATTGATTTCTGATTTTGCCAACACTGGATGATACACAGAAAAAAAAGTTGTTGAATATTACATCCAAACTGCTGCAACCAGGTCAATCCATCGGTTGTGTAATATAAAGTTGTACGATGTACATCGATTTTGCGAACAAAATTACATCCATTGATGTAATATTGTATCTGCTTTTTGCTATTACATCATTATTTCATACATCAGCTTGAATTACATTGATCGATATTACATTTTTTTTGCTGTGTAGCTCTAAAGGGCCACCGACATTACCTACGGATCTGACACGTTGCGGCTAAGTGACAGCTAAATCTATTGTCTAACTGTCAAATTTACGTCAACGCAACGCAAACGGATCTAATGTGGGTGACCTTTAAAGGAATTCTGGAGAAGAGGGAAATTTTTAGGGTTATTTGAAGAGACAATTCTAAGGAGTATTCCAAGGAAATTCTAGGGATAATTCAAAAGCAGAGCTTCAAAGGACCTGCGAGGAGGTCCATCAGAGCTTGGAAAAATATTCCAAGTAAATCATGACGAGAATTTCTTGGATTTTATTGAAAAACAATGATAGATAATGTTGGGAACAATTTTAATGGAAATTTCAGGAGAATTCCAAGACATATTTCACAGTAAGATTCCAGGACCATGACATGAATATTTAATTTAAATGGTGCAATTTCGGATAATTGTAGGATAAAAGTTTTGATTTTAAGGATTTTATTATTAAATAATGCAAGTTTTACATACTCATTTATAGTACAGAAAAAAGACTAAAGACCACAATGACTTAACATAATGCAAAAAAATGCCTTATATCCTATTTCCAAAATCTGTCCTCTCTATCAATCGATATTTTAGTCATTCTATATTATTTTACCATTAACAGCTACACAGTAAATGTTTTTCACAGAAAAACATACAATAATAGTCGAATAGAAGCTCTACTACTAGGAAATAACGTTCCATATCGAATCAACTATTTCCGTGTTTTTTTTTTATGGTTTTGTTTTGTTAAGATAATAAATATAGATTTAGCTTCTTCGTCACAAGTGTATTAAATATACAGATGCGTACGCTGAAACTTGTTCTCGTCGAAAAGTTGTAATTTTTCAGATCTACTATGCTGTTTATAATTGCAATTGGTTATTTTATGTGCAGATCCCATCCTATTTGACTACAACGACAAAGAATTTTCGCTCGTTGATTATTATACAGTCTACAAATGCAACATAAAAACAGTTTCTGTTTAGTTTTTGGACATCTGTTAATTTTAAATATTTCAACTTCCGTTTCCGACCGTTTCTCATTTCGATCGTAACTGGATAGGAACTTATAGAGCTGCTAGAACCAAAACATATAAGTCTGTATCTCGTGGAGCCGAAACTTAATGGATGCCTTGCTGGTTGGTTCTATTATACATATACCTGTAGCTTGTTGGAAATCGTTCAATGTGTACACTCAAAAAAGGGGACAATCAAATCTTTAACGCTAATTTTCCACACTTAGAGGACATTCCACACCAGGCCGGGGTGGTTTGGATTTCAATTGTGTGCTGTCGCGGACAGTTTTTCCAAACGGGCACACAGCTCCTGCTGCAGGAATTGCTGGCAACCACTGGGCGCTGCTGCTGCTGCGGGCGTCTGCATAAGCTGGTGGTGACTGCTGAAGCTGGCGCAACTGCTCAGGGGTGCGGACTGCAGTTGGATCATCTGCGCCGGGGTGTACTTGGTGCAGGTGCCTTGCCAACGGGCCTTACCGCAAGCGTGACTCTGTTTGGGGGTGGAAGAAAGGTGGGGGAAAAGAGAGAACGTTACGGTGTTGTTCGGTAATATGGGATGATTTTTTTGGGGGGGGGGGTGATAAATACCGCCCTTGGAGCAGTGGCGTCGTGAGAAAGTTTTTTTTACAAAAATTCCGGTGATTTTAATTTGTTTAAATTATGCTACATTGAATTGACGTTAGTTTTTGTATGTCGAGTATATTAACAAGATTCGGGAAATCCCAACTACGCTACTGCATTATCATAAAAGGGTGCATAGGATTTTCAGCTAGTAAAGAAAAGCTCTCCTCTCTCATAGCGGAGACACAACCCACTGAGCTTTCCAAGCGCTAAAAGAGTGATGTTGAATAACTAAATACCTACCATGGTGAAATCGCGCTTCCAGCTCTGTCCGCAGATGCCATCGCAAATCATGCAGGGCCGTTCCAAACTGTAGCCACCGCACTCGGAGCAATCCAGCGAAACCTGCTGGTCAGCCCATAGCACTCCGCAGGTAAAGCATGTTCCCAGCTGAATGCGCAGGTCTTCGATGGTGAGGACGGCCTCGGAACTGACTTCCAGGGCGGCGGCCGCTGCCGCGGCTGAACTGGGTAGCGATGGGCTTCCGACCAGGTCCGATAGGGACGACGAGAGGCTCAAACTGGTACGACTGCAATGGGAGAGAGATAGAAAGTTGAAACGGGAAATTAGCGACATGGAAACGCTCGAAATTACAGGAAACTCTCGAATCCGGCTCATGACGATGACAAAAAAAAAATCCCATTAAAACACATGTGTGGATCGGCTGGCTGGTATTTGAATGAAATCATAGGGCACGGTCAGTAGCAGTGCGAGGGTGGCAGCAATCAACGAGCGATTTGTTATTTTTATCACGCGCCATTTAGACGTTTCCGATAATCTGATGAGCGAGAAAAAAATGGCAAGTGACCAGCTGTTTGTATGTTCGCGGCCTACGCGGTTACGGGTTGAGGATAGTAGGTGGGGAGTGAGGACGGACGGCGACGCCGCACAGTGGACGTAGGAGTACCAAATCGTGGCATAAATTTATAGTTGCTCAGGGTTGTATTATGGGAGGCTAATATCTTCGGCAAAGCTGATCCTAAATACCTAGGCCTTCAGTTGGCTACATCATTTTAATTAAGAATTCTAACGCTAGGGCGGCGCTGTTGCTAATTTTTCAATAAAGCATTATGGAATTATGGTGCTTTCGGCAAATTTTTAGAGAATGTTATTCTGAACAACTCTCCTGACTAACTTTGCAAGTCCCTTATTGCGAATTCAGTTCCAACCTGGATCGGGTATCGCTAAAGGGTGATACGGTCAAAATTTGGTCAAGGGAAAACGCGTGTAAATCGGTGAAATCGTTTATTTAAAAAATCAAATTAAATTTCTTTTTCAAGTTCAATTAGTATAAAATTCAGGAAAAATATTCAGTTAGGCTTCCGCTTTTCCAAATCCGAATTGCCGGGCCTTACGCTTGACCCCTGCCATCAGATTTTGTACAGCCACCTTGTCCACCTTCTTCGCCGCAGAAAGCCAGTTTGCCTTGAACTGCTGCTCGCCCTTAGCAGTTTTTTTTGGTCTTCTTTAGGTTCCGCTTGACAATGTGTGTGTGTGTGTGTGTGTTCAATCTAACCCCCACTGGCCGGCAGTGGTATTATGGAAGAAATTTGCTTACTACAATCCTTGATGTAATAATAAGCAAGTTTAGTCCGGGAGTTAGAAAGCGATAGCTCTACTGCAGATTCAGCAACCCATTTCAGAATGCCTGGTAATTCACGTCCATTCCGAGGTTACTTTCACATACAATAAGCCCCGCATGTAAACACTACCGTTATCATATGAATAATGGTACTGCAAACACACTTCCAGATTTCGAAATGTGATGTTTCGAAATCTGGCGCGTATTTAGTAATATATGGAAATATGCATTTATGATTGATTATAAATCAGAAGGATCTCACCAAATTCTGCCTCCGAAAAAGCACCGGTTTGTTCACTCGCGGTAGTCGAAAAAATCTTCCGCGTTGTTTTTACAACCGAACACGACATTTTGAATCACACGCGAAGTTTTTCATTTGCACCGAATTTTTGCCTGACACCTCATTTGCGTGCATCCTCCGGAAGGCAGAACGCCAGCACCAAGAAAAGAAAAAAAACCGGTAAAACTCTTCTTGGGAGGGAGGTAAAGCACCAAAAAGCAAGCGAAAAGAAAAACCGACCAACGCGACACCACAGCAACACAGCTACTCGAAACAAATTCTATTCCCAGATTTTTCACATTAATTACAATATCACTAAACAAACTTCCTTAAACGTGATAGATCTTAATTTACACTTGTCCATACGCGAAAACTAATATTTTTTTCTGAATTGATTCCGCTTTATGATAGATCGAAATTCTATCCGCCAGAATATGAATATAGCGACTATAGTTCCAACCCGTATCATCTTTAGGTTCCGCTTGACAATAGCCCAGTATTTCTCAATTGGGCGGAGCTCTGGCGTGTTGGGAGGGTTCTTGTCCTTGGGAACCACCTGCACGTTGTTGGCGGCGTACCACTCCATGGTCTTTTTACCGTAATGGCAAGATGCCAAATCCGGCCAAAACAGTACGGAACAACCGTGTTTCTTCAGGAAAGGCAGCAGACGTTTATTCAAACACTCTTTCACGTAAATTTCTTGGTTGACAGTCCCGGAAGCTATGAAAATGCTGCTTTTCAAGCCACAGGTACAGACGGCTTGCCAAACCAGATATTTCTTTGCGAACTTTGACAGTTTCATGTGCTTGAAAACATCTGCTACCTTTCCCCTTCCTTTTGCCGTCTAAAACTCCTGTCCCGGAAGCTGCTTGTAGTCGGCTTTGACGTAGGTTTCGCGCTTTGGCCGTCGTATTTTGTTTATCATCGCGATTTGGAGTCACTACCTTCTTGTAAGTCGATAGTCCGGCTCGTTTTTTGGCTCGATGCACGGTTGTAGACGATACACCCAGCTTATTTGCGGCATCTCGGAGAGAGAGGTTAGGGTTTCGCTTGAAACTACCGGCAACTCTCTTTGTCGTCTCAGCGGCTTCCGGTTTTCGATTTCCCCCCGATCCAGACTTCCTGGCTGTCGACAAACGTTCCTTAAATACTTTAATTACATTTGTAACGGTTGATTTGGCAACTTTTAGCGATTTTGCCAACTTTGCGTGCGAGTAGCTCGGATTTTCGCGATGCGCGAGCAAAATTTTGATACGCTGCTCTTCTTGCTTGGACGGCATTTTGACAACTGAAGAGTGAATTCCAAAATCAAAATAGGAGCAACATTCTACACACACACACCTTCAAAATGAGGGGTGTTCAGGTTTTTTAAATGCAAAATTGAAAGAAATACGTCAAGTTGATATTGACCAAATTTTGACCGTATCACCCTTTATTCGCAATTGATCTTTGAGATTTTGAGCATTTATTGAAAACAAACAGTCGGTTTTTCATTTTTACCAATAATTTTCTTATTTGTAATTTTGTTTAAAGACTAGTTAGAAAAAAAAAACATTTTTATCCTATAAACTGCTTTTTTACATCTTAGTGAACAGTTTATTTCAACATTTAACCGACTTAACTTGCATAATAATAGGTACCGAGCGTCCTTAGAATCTTCCCTTGACGCCTGACTGGCCAGCGTGCGATAGGGTTGCATAAGCCTCGGTATTCAATCCGGTCGCAGTTCCTTATTGGAGAGCCCGTCGTAAAGGGTCACTGCGTCTGACTCACTGAACTTGACATTGACTATTCTACTGACTGCTAATACTTACTACAACTAATAGCTACTGCAGCTAATCTCGAATAGGTTAACGCAAATAGTGCAAGCATCAGTTATTGTCATAGGATCGATAAAAAACGAGTCTCGCATTTAAGTCTGGTGCCGTGTGGTTCACTCAATACCTGCAAGCATCCCACTTACCAGTATTTCACAACCACCCCACTCAAGTTGCACACGCGTCAATGAGCGGCGCACAGTGGTCGGAGAAGTATAAAATTGCGGCATAAATAAATAAACAAATCCAGCGTTCAAAACCATAAGGGCCTAACTGTGATGATCTATTCTCTTAACCGATTTTTTTTGCATTACTACAGCTAAGCGAACTAATTTTCTTAATGTTGTATTAGCTTGCTCAAACGCACGGAGAAATGTTAATCAAAAGCAAAAGAGAAAATCGACAAAGAGAATTCAATCATCGTAGTTAGGCCCTTATGATTTCGAACGCTAGAAATACAAGAGTTGCGACGTGTTTCCGAAACCAAATCTGTATGATGTTGTTGCTCAGCTTCCTCAAGATATTGGGCTGGAGGATGTTGGAATGAACAAAATTCAAGATTAGTGTTGTTTTTTTTTCCATAAATTTTGTACTATAATTGGTACTTCATCTCCATGAGTTGGAGTTACTCATTTTCATATCTTCATTTGAAACGTCAACGAATGAGTGATTTAGATTTATAAATTTGAGTAACATCAACTCAACAAAAAATAAATAAGTATGGATCTCAATTATGAGTTTTCAGCCTGTTAATTGACTCAAACCAAAAATCAAAATGGCGTTGTGAAAAAGTTATTAACACGAAGTTCTTCTTTCCGGTGTCTAAAACAAAAAATTGAAATTTTAAAAGAAAATTTGCAAAAATGGAGCAGATTGCAGCCACGGTTGATGCGGGAACGTATCGAAAATTGAGAGGTATTTTTTTCAGCAGAAAAAATCAAGTTGTAAAATTTTATGTATAATTTTTGTATCGAAAATTTTGGGGTAAAGCTGGAAAGTTTTTAATTATTTGAAATAATGTTTATTATCAACATTAAGGTCTTCGATGTCATCTACCAAAATGTGGAGTAATCGTTACTGGATACGTAGAAGAATTGAAAACTCACTTCAGGGAAATACATAAAATCAACACTAGCAATGCCGCGAATGTCCCGTTTGCTTGTTCGGAATGCGGTTCTCTCTATAATCGCTTTAAGAATTTGAAGCGGCATATTGTTGAAGTCCACCCTCGTGAAAACACCGACAAGAACTTCAAAGTAAAACATGAAAATTATCATACATTACCAGGTTGTCCTAGCTCGTCTGGGTCGGATCCAAGAATCCACACCGTAGAAAATGATCCAGATTATTCTGGAATCACAAATCCCTCGTTCTTTGAATCTTCTATTTCTACCTTAGAGATGACACAACTTGCAGAGCAATACGTGATGAAGATGCGTTGCGATGTTGGACTACCGGAGTCAAAAATTAAAGACTTTATGCAAGCGACAGCTGATCTCCTTCAGTATTCTGGAAAGTACCATCTCGGGATCTTCAAATCATATTTAAAGTTGAATGCAACTCCATACAACGATGTTAACGCTGTAAACGCTATCAACAAATTTAAGATCCCGGATGTATTTTCTAATGTTCGCAGCCCTCAGGATTGTATGAGTTACTTATCACGAGCTGCAGGATATGCGATACCTATCCCAAGGGAAGAACTTCTGGGTCGAATTAAGACCACAAAAGTAACTAAGATTCCCTCTTGCGCTCATGGTCATCCTAGAAAGGTTGTAAAGAACACAACAGTAGTCAAACACGTTGCACATTATATACCCATTATCGACACATTGGCATTGATTATGCAA